GAACCAAGCACCAAACAAAACAAGGTGTCAACTGCATCCCCATACATGCTCCAAAGACATGCAAATTCCTGCCAAACATTTGCCTTGGTTATTGCTGTTGCTTCTTTCAGAAAATCCTCCCCCAGTGAGCGAACACAACAGCCATCAATAGAAGAACGCGATGAGCAGCCAGAGTAGGACAGGTTAACACTGGTTAGTAATGCTGAATATGGTGCTGGGATGCTTGAGTTTAGAATCCACTTTACTACAAGAGCAGCCAAAGAAGTGTTAGAGAATAAGAAATACAATAGAGATGGAAGCAGTCGATAGGGTCAATGTTAGAAGTGCTGTAAGTGCAGGCAAAAGTCGTTTTTCATACTCCAAGACTTGCTACAAGCTAAAGTGATATCCAGAATCAGTGTTTCAAAGGGTTTTTCCATTTGCCACCTTGTTGTTTTTATTTTAGAAACCAATAGGCCTGACTGTCCGAAGAGTGAGCAGCAGAAGGATGAAGTAATTTTTTTTTTTTTTAAACTGTTAATCAATAAGCGTCCAATTAGATATCCTTTACCTCCATCTTCTCAAGGCCTGGAAAACATTATATAAATTGCTACCTGAAGCTTCAACACGTTTGCTAAGGGCTAGGCTTCTTTTGCTTCTTCATGACAAGTTTTCCAACAGAATTGTTAGAGAGCACTCTCACTAAATCATTTTTCATCAACAAACATTTCCGATTTTTATACACTAGGAATGTTATTTTCCAGATATACCACCAGAAGATAAGTAGATTTATTACCAATAATAGCAACCAAGAATTAAAGCCAGACTATTTTTTTTAAAGGGATGCTTATTTGACACACAATCTAGTGGTTAATCTGATCCACTAGAACCTGATGCACCTTCAAAAGTTTCTCACAATCACTCTCTAAGAACTTCCAGGTTTCAAATTCTTATGTACGAAGAGTCAGGAATAGCAAGTGTATGTGTAGGGGGCGGGGGTGTACACATCTCAGTTCTGATGCACTAGATTTAAAATACTTTTTTGAGAGCAATACAAACAAACAAGATATGTTGTAATAAAATTTATTCTCAGCCTGGGAATGAAGTAGAGAAGAGACAGTCTTCTCAGAGATGTGCTTGCCTTTTCTAGTTAATTGGGGGTTTTTTTCCTCACAACTCATTTTATGTGCAAATTCCTTGTGACCTTCTATGATCGTTTACAATTTGAAATAAGCAATTTGGAGAAACATGTCTCTTAGATTAGACCAAAAGATTGGCCAAACAAGTTAACTGAAATAATCAGTATCAGATACTTGTTGTTTTATAGCAGGCAAGATCTGTAGTTTAGAAATAAGCTATGGGTACAGACATATGAATGACTTATTACCAAGCAAAAGTGGATGGGCCTTCATTACACATCAGCTACTTGAAGGTAATGGCCCATTTGCACACTCTTACTCCTCACTAAGAGGAAGGTGGATCACAACTTAGCCTTCAGTGACAGTGAGATGAAAGCTACCATTACTTGAGCTTGACCCCAGTGAGGGTAAAAGTATAAATACAAGAAGTTAATACAAGCCACTAATACACTGTAAAGCCTTGCCAATTTTTGCAATAAAATGTTCGTGCTACATGTTGCAGTGGAAATGGAAGACACCCAACAGAAAGCACTGGGAGAGCTACAAATTCAAGATTGCATTCAGAAAGGAACAAAAGTTAGTCATTAGTCATTCTTAAGGTCACCAAATCTGTTTACAATATTATTCTGATAGGTAACAAAAGAACAGTTTGCTATTTATAGGTGAAGCACCTATCTGCGATGTAACCACTATATGGTCATCCTCCTACATTCACTCTAAAGATTAACTCTAATGCATTTGGTACATACGTTTCCACGTCATACTACCAAGTGATCTCTGCACAGGCACAAAAGGACAGCAAGTGAGATGGGGAGATTACCTAAAAATATACTACATTTATTTTCACTTCAAATTTAAGGGAAAAGCTTGGCAATCTTTAGTCATGCAAGCAAGGCATCCCAACATATGTAGTTGTATGCTCTTCAGGGCAAGAACAATCATATTACATTTTTTTCTACACCCCTAGCACAACAGGGGCCTTCAGATGGTTGGTCTCTATGCACTACAACAAAATAAACAGTTAAAAATAGCAGCAGCAAGGGTCCCACTTGAGATTTTAAATTTTGAAAGAAGTAAAATATTATTTCTTAACACAGACTCTACCTGTTGAATTCACTAAGGTAGGAGTGGGGTCAGAGTCTGATGCTATAGCTACATAGGACTGACAATCTGTAGCTAGTTTCCATGCTTCAAACCATCAGTTAGTTGTTTCTATAGGTTAGGGAAGTATGGATCCTATCCATCCCTAATCCCTAATTCAGTGGTGAAGAAGTGACCAGAAAAACTGAACGATCCACCTGTTGGAAATCAGCCTGATGCAGCTGATAACTTGGCTGATAAATACTTGTGTGCGCACACAACCACATCGCAGCACAGGCAACAAACAGCATTGCCTGGCAGCGTGGAGAGCTGCATGCAGCTGGTAAGTCCATTGTGGTAGAAGGGGAGGGGAAAGGGAAGGGGTGTGGTGGG